AGGCAGCCAACCTTCTTTGCCGTGCCAATCAGCATGATTGTATATATGCCATAATCGTAGACCATTCATCCAGTTGCGTATAGCTTTGCCCGAGCAGCTGCCACTGTGATCAGATATGAAGGCCCCGAGTAGGATTTCTGAAGCAGGCATTCGCCGTCCCTCCGGAATGCCCTCCTTATCACAGAACTGATTGAAACGGAGTAGACCGGCTGCATATGTTTGACGCGTATCGTCCGCCGTCGATGCCAAAAGATCTTCAAACATACGCGTCTGTAAACGCCGTGAGACCTCATCATCGCGGTGTTGTTGTGCTAGCAGTGAGTGCGGTGTGGTCCACAACAAAATCCGTTGATTGGCGGGAACGTGTGGGCGGAATGGGCTAGGGGTGATTTCGTTTTCTTTTGTTGGTCGTCTCGTCTTTGTCACAGGCAATGAGCGCACAGCAGCTATGCGGACATCCATGAGGCCGTCTTCCAGAGAGGCTGCGGGTAATAATGAGGATACGTGGGAATTATTAGTTGGCATAGTTGTTGCCGGGGTATTTAAGGAGCGTGAGCGAGAGAATAGAGCATTTGAATCTATGAGCTGTGAAGACCCGATAATAGAATTGATAGGAGAAATGAATGAGGGGTTAGATATCGGCCTGGTGGATGGATCGGGATCCCATATGTAATTAGAGGGGTGTGGTAGAGCGGGACTGGGGCAAGTTGTTTCAGAAAGTGACTGGCGCGGAGAGCCACCCTTCCAGGTAAGAGTGGTCAAGTCAAATTCACCGGGCTCGGAAGAGTCCGGCCAGATGACCGGTCTATCCATGTGAGTCAATAATGGCTTCGGAGAGCTCATCGGGGAGCTGGAAAGTGCGCTCAAGGCGCTTGGAGGAAGTTGGGGCCAATTCTCCGCGTGAGATTGGGTCCGAGGGGTTTAGGGCTGATTCGATGTAAACGAGTTCGGGAATGATTAAGTGTTCCGCTAACACCGCATAAGTGCGGCGGACACAGAGATTTATTTCGACATTCGGACTACGTCCTTTGTCGTGTGCTCCGATGGCACCATTATTGTCGGAATGTATCAGCAACCGGATATGGCTGAACCCGCATTGAACCAGAAAATATACCAACAACTCCAGAGCGATGGCCTCCAGCCAGCAGATGTCTCGTCCGGGCAACTTCCAGACATCGGTAAGTCTGAAAGCCGCCCAAGAATCCCCAATGATTATGCCAATGCCCCAAGTGGTTGAGGCATCAACGTAAATCTTCAAATCCCTGATGGGACCCAAAGGTCGAAGTTGGCGGAACGTCCCGCGAACCACGAGTTGTTGCCTCCACCACGTCAAAGTCTTTATGAGAGAATGAGATCCGTGTCGCCGGACGAACTCGTTACCCGTAAAACCAGCCATAAAGTTAGATATGGCTGGCAGGTGAGAACTTCCCTTCCGGTAGATAAAGCAGATGTGGACGAGCGAGCCGTGAATTTTTTGGATATCAAGAAGGGAAAAAGCTGTGCCTGCCTCGAGCTGCGACAGCATGGTGAGAACCCGGTTGAGGAATTTTAGACGCTTCTCCTCTGGAAGGGAAACCTGCCGCCACAACAAATCCCAAAAGAAACCGATGAACACCATGGAGTACGCATATTGTTTTCCCGTCTTCGTAGGATGCCATGGAATTTGAAGTGGCCCGATGAGCTGCATGGAGCTATCTCTGTCATACACGTAACAAAAGTTGCCTTCGACAAAAGGGCCTGAGGGCGTCGGGTAACGGAGGTTACTCATGTCATCCTCATACTTGAATGTCACGAGAGATCCCTCCCCCGCCGCATCCCAGATGTCTACCCCCGCATTGGCAATCTGTCCCGCATTACTGCTGGCAGAGCGGGCACCAAAGGGATGGGTGTGATCGATATAGAAATTTCCTTCTACGCAAACAACGAGATATGGTTTATGGTCTGGATGAACAGGACAAGTTCGGTGAAAGGCCTTGATGTCGAAAGCACATGCCTGGGTCCCTTCGGGAGCCAAAGCAATCTGAATGAGCAAGTGTGGTTAGCATGGATGCCCGCTATCCGCGTCGACATGAGAGATCTGATGGCCCGCTGAACCGCGTCGGCGTGCCCGCTAAACCGCGTCGGCACAAGATAATGATGCCCGCTCAACCGCGTCGACACAAGAAGATGATGCCCGCTACACCGCGTCGACATGAAACAATGCCCGCTAGACCGCGTCGGCAAGGAAAACAAAGCCCGCTGACCGCGTCGACAATGTGGGACACCAACATAGAAAATGCCGCAAGGAGTGAAAAGAAGGATAGAGAGACTCACGGCTTCAGCGACACGATGGGCCATGTCAAATCGAGTTGGGAAATCATCTTTCGAGATGAAGCTATTAACCGAACCCAAGTCCGAGGCCCGGTCTCCCTTTGAAAGGTTACGGCAAACTCGTAATTTAGGCGGTTGCTCGGGACCTTGGTCTTGAGAGGCGACGATGAATGGGGAACAATAGAAGTGGCCACGCAGGATGCGGTGTGTGTCCTCCTGTGAGAAAGGACCGGACATTCGCTCAGCAGCCAACTCGGTATTGATGTAGTCCTGCACGACCTGTGGGTGCTCCAAGACCGAAGGATGATTCTTGATAATGACCGTCCTTGTGAGAGGGGGTAGATCGCCCAGCGGGAACCCATGATCCAGATTATGAACAAGCAGGGAATAAGCCTTCTGTAGATTATGCTTGTCTAGCAAGGAAGAAAAGGCCTTGGAGTCGTAAGGATGTACAACACGCTCGTAGATTTCAATGTCGGAGAGAGAAGCCGACGGAGGACGTGGTCGCCGGTGAATTAGTGCGGAAAAGTCGGTATATGCTAATGTAGGATGAGGAGGAAGTTGAAAGTGCGGAGGAGTTTCATGTGGACCAGTGTTAACCAGTATTACTGGCGGTCCTCCCCGTTGTGCCGTTTCAAGTGCGTCCGGAACGGCAGGCGGCGTTCCGAGGAATGGCCGCGTGGTTCTTGCCGCAGAGGCTACATATGTGTAAGGCCGGCGGCTCACTGTGTGTCTGTTGACATCCGTTCGGGAGATTGAATTCGACGCATATCCGCTTTCTCTCGGTTCCCTTGAATGGTTTTGAGGTCCAAAGCTCGTTATGTCGGAGAACGGAGAAACAGCTGCCTCCGTCCCCGAAAGAGGTGGCTGTGGACGGGTGGTTCTTGAGTCTGTGCGAGCCTTCACATATGATGCAGGAAGGGTTGAGCCGCTGTGAACTGGGAGCGCCGCTTCGAAAGGAATAGTTGTCCCCTCGGGAGGATTGCGAATCCCCTCGAAAGGACGACGGTGAGGTGTCAGCGAGGCTCTGGCGGGAAGCCTTAGCCTCCCGAAAATCCGGCTCCCGGTCCGCCAGACGCTTCCGGCTGGGGGACTCCGATGATGCGTATTTCATTGAGTACCGCTTCGCGTGAAGGATACCATCCACCTGCTGAGCGTAGTAGCTGGCATCGAAGAGAACACCCCGAAGGATTTCGTGTCTGGCTTCCCGTTCGAAACTATACCACTCCGGGTAGTTCTCTTCAAATTTACCATAATTCATGAAGAAAAGACGGTGTTTTTTGAAGTCAGAAACAAAAGTGGCCTTTGTGGGATCCGTCGCCTTCTCGGAGAGGATAGCAAGAGCGGCTTCCATGTTAACGGCCGCCTGTTGCCAAGTCATGGCCGACATGCAGGAGTGCAGTTCGTCGGTTCCCCATTCAGCAGACTGCGACATCTTGAGCATATCAAAGACGAGCACTTTATCGACGCCAGCGGAGCCATCCTGTACAGCATCGGGTTTGAGAAGCTTCGTAGGAATGTCGTGCAGACGATGCTGTATAGTCTGCAAGCGATCGTCCGAGAACCAGTGCAGTGGGACGTAAAGCTTGTAAAGGACGGATCGGAGAACAACGTCCGGCACGACCACGTCTGGCCGTTCTCCAGGGACCCTGCTCACGGCGGCCGTATTGACCATGGCGCCGTGTTACGGTCGCTGCCCCTTGATTTTCTCCTTCTGGGCCTTATCTGCCTCGGCGCGATCAGCCCGTTTCCTCCGTGCGCGCTCCACATCTCCACGAATGAAAGCAGGGAGAGGGCCAACATCCGTGCAATAAGCCTCACTGAGAATCATCTCGGTCATCTCCTCGGACGTGTAGGCATAGAAAAACTTCAGAGGAGGACCAACATCCGCATAGTTGACCCTGTCTTCTTTGCAATTCAAGGTCTGGTCTATGCTGATTTCATTGAATCTCTCCGAATCCAGGTTATGCTTGTTCCTGAGCCGCAAGGTGCGTCCCGTGGGGTTTTTCGCCGCTGGTGGTGTCGTCCACGCGTCGAAGTCAAAAGAGTCTGGCACCGGAGCAATGACCCTTGCATTTGGTAGAAGAGACATGTCAAAAAAGACTTGAGGCTCAAGAGAGCGTTTGCAGCGAGAGCCCGAGACGACGCCGCGTAGACGAGAGAGAGTCGACGCGTCGCACGGTCCTCGGACGTAAACTCTAATATGATGGGATCATGTTTACGCCCTCGTTCTCAGACTCTCGTTGTATCTTTCCTTATCTTACGCTTACCCTAGCCGTTCGCAAGCTCACGTAGATCCAGCTAGCATTAAGTTACTTATCTGAGTGGTAAAGAGCAGGTGATTGAGATGCACGCCATCGTGGGAAGAATGCCACGCGGAGTTACACATAACGCTACACCTTTTCTCCCGATTCAATTTGGTGCCCGTTATAGCCAGAAATTAGCATCATCAAATTAGGATACTGCAAGCATCAGTTGTACGAAACCCCTCGATACATCTTGTATTGTCAATTCTAGGACAATCAACTTACGGACGTCCGGCAACACATGGGTTTGAGTCGGAAGAAAAAACCTATCGGACGGCATAAAATTTAAAAGTGCAAAAGCAGAAATAGATCTATGAGATGTCAAAGAGCATGAAATGTCTCGGTTTCTCTTTGAAAAGAAAAAAACCCTATAATGGACCGTCTTACACTGAAGGGGAATCGAACCCCTGCCGCTTGCTTACGCTACTTTGATTTCGAATATGGAAGGCAAGCATGATAACCACTTCACCATCAGTGTGTCGACATCCGGAAGACATTTAGGCCCTAGATCATCGGTCACTTTCTCCGATTTTACCCCGGCGGCGTGTGTTCTTGAAGCTTGAAGCTTGAAGAACCAGCACTCATCGCACGCGCGCCAGCACCTCTTCCGCGTACCCGCATACCAGTTTCACCACCGCGTCCGAGCCTCCATAGCACTTCAACGGGACGCCGTTCACGAAGCCCTGCGTGCGCGTGAGCCATCGGGTACACAACGGAGGGGGTGCAAAGATAGGTGTGAGCGCGAGAGTGAAAGGGGAGAGTGAGAGTGAAGGGGGAGAGCGAGAGTGAAGGGTGGAATCCATATGCAAATGGCACAGAAACAGAAGGCAGAGACGAAACGGACCTTCCGACTCGAATCGCCCAGCCGGCTCTCGGGCGGGAAGACGTATGACGAAAGCACATCGCCACGTCGGTTCGCGATGAACGGGCCGCGCGTGCACGCGGGGTCGAGCAGCGGGTGGAGCATCCACTCGGCGCAGGCGTCCTGGGCGTGTTAGGGGACGTGTGTGAGTGATTAGTCAGGCGGGGAGTGTCTGGGGGAAGCTGGCAGACAATGGGACGTGGGGTTGCGCGAGGAAGATGGTGGGGTTGGGTGGGGGTGGAGTGAGGGAGGGTGGGGAGTCGGGAGGGGGAAGGGATATAAGAGAGATGCGCAGGCGGGCAGGATGGAACGTGATGTATCACGTTGGGGGTGAGGAGGGGGCGGGAAGGATGCCGACACGAAAGAAACGGAACGCACCTCCTCAACCGCGGCCAGGCAGTTGACCGAGTGGAACAGCACGAACGTGAGGGGCGCCAGGAGCCACCCGAGGTTTGCGAACTCGCTCTTGAACGTCGGCGTGCGCACCATCCCTGGGTGGATGTGCGTGAACACGAGCTTGGGGTACTGCGCGGCGAACCACTACCGAGTTCAGTGTTAGTGTGAAATGCAGAGGGGATCCAGGAGGCGACGCACAACGATCAGAGCGTCGTTGAGCGTGACACCGATGATCATTCCGCGCATCGCTGCGATGGACTGTGGAGTACTCAATCAGCGTACGATAGACCGTGTGTGACGTGGGCATACGGGCAGCAGCGCCTTCCCGTTCAGCCACTTGTACGAGCGCGCGCGCGCCTTGGCGTTGTTGAGATCCTCCGTCGGGGGGTGCGACGCCGAATCCCGCGCCCAAGACGCTCATCACGCGCGCGTCCTGCCCAAGCTCCGCGGCCTCCGCCAGCAACGGGGCGAGCTCCTGGATGTACACGAAGTGAGAGTACCATCTGCGCAGCTGTTAGCCGCAGGATCCCCGGGCGTTGGGGAGCACTTACCGCAAGGAAAGGCGATAGTCGAGCCCCTCGCGCGTCTCGCCTGCCCACGTCATCGTGTTCGAGCCCGCGCTCAGCACCAGGTAGTTGATGCGCCCCAGGCGGGCACGCAGTCCCGCGCACGCCGTGTGCACGTTCGCCATCTCCGTCGCCTCGCACCTCACAAACTCGTGCGCCCACTCCCCCGCCCTGGCGGGCTTCGGCAGCCCGCTCAGTAGACGCTCTGCGGCAGCCGCGTCCCGCCCGATCAGCACGATTTTGTGTACCGTGCGAACGCCCGCGCCATGGCGGCGCCGACGCCGGACGTGCCGCCTGCGAAGACGGCGACGGGGACGTAGGCGGGGCGGTACAAGGCATTGGCGGCCTGGGTTGCTGTAAGAGTGGGCATGGGGTATGTTGCGAGTCTGTGGTTCAGCCTGCAGGGTGTAGATGGTATTTATGATGCGCAACGGAGACGGAGGGGCAACAGGTCATCACGTTTAGATGATGGCGGGACAGTCTCTATTGGCACACGCGCCGTCACGGCAGATGGTGTCGTGCGTGGGATTGTGAACGTGAGAGGAGGGAATCTCCCTGCCATAGCTCCAACTGAGTAAAGTAAGAACGGGGAGCTCTGTAGCGGTGTAGCTGACCGTCAGGACAAGGTGCCACCTGGCTAAGAGTGCGTGAGAATTCGGCATCGCGGCTTGATATGGTCGTTCAACGAGGTGGTACTGTATGTACTGTAAAGCTTCATTCTCTTGGCCGGCGGCATCTTCGTTGAAATGGCTCCACTGATGGCGATCAACAGTAAATCGATCCTTAGAGAATCGTGTGGGTCCTCCAATTGGCAGTACGAAATGCAGATCTAGAGGTCGAACGTCGCTTCGTTATGGGCTCTATCCTAGCAGTGATGGATGCCTCGATTTTAAGGGAAATAAGAGAACGACCCTGTAGTACTGATCAATCCTGCCGCCCATCTGTGTGTTCATGGTCAAACAGATGAAGATCGGTTCATCGGTGCAGAGAGTGGCTTATTACACCTACCGGTACGACAGAACTCGAAGAAAACTGCCTTAAAGCGCTGCATCGGAAATTTAGGCTGCGAAAGTGATTTACCTTCATCGATATATCGATAAATGCCTGGCTCCACAGCTTGTCGGGAGATCGTCTCAGAACATTTGAATGTTTATAAAGTTTTGGGCGCCTCAGGTGCCCAAAACTTTACAAACTGCATCTGAAGGAGTTGCGCAAACTCTCTATTACGCCTACCAATGCGATAGAATTCAAACAGAACTGTCTTGAAGTGCTGCATGGAAAATTTAGGCTCTGAAAGTTCTTTACCTGCATTGACTATCGATACATGTCTGGCTCGGCAACTTGCCTGGAGATCGTGTCAGATCATTTGAAAGTTTGTAAAGTGTTGGAAACTGCATCTGAGGAAGTTACAGGAGAGTGACTGAGGTTCTTCAGCAGCTTTCGGCTTCGCGGACAGGAAGCCTGTTCATGTCTAACCAATAGTATGACTCTGCGATTAGGGCTTTAAGCTCTTTCCTCAAACTCTGAGAAATACCGACCGACCTTCGATTTCCCCCCTCTGTTTCTCCGCAATACTATATGGCGCTGGGAACGTGGGCAGCTTAGGGCTTTTGACCTGTTCACAACTCCCTCCAGGATTTTTGTGAATATCCGAAAGTCCCAGATGGTAGGCGCGCATTCTGAGAACAGGTTGAGCCTATTTGGGGCGCATTTGGGGAAGATTTGAAACCGCAGTGAATTTAGTTTGGGCGAAACTCCCGAACAGGCAATTATGGGGAAGCTGGGCACCCACACAAATCCATTGTTATCGGCTCATTTAATGCCATTATGCTGCTCTATGATGTTCAAGGGATCCAACTACAATATTTGAGATGGTAAAAAGGTATGTTGGACCTAGACAAATGGTACAGTTGAGTGCTCCCGATGCCAGGCGCATGCAACGGGATCCAAACTGCTGATCAAACGACTGCAGCGCAACAGTGAGAGGGTGTAATTGCCCAAAATAAGCTTAGGAGAGCTTCATAATAAGTCGATCAACATATCCGGGCCCTTCGTTCCACTCCTGAGTCGAACTGTCGAGAACCTGGCATTTAGACATTGTTACTAGTGAAAATGGGGTGATTTGGTGCATGGTCAACGTTGAGAGAAGTATCAGACAGATATAATAGCGGTATATGTTCGATATTGAAGCTTTATACATCATAATGAATCAGGTGAAGGTCTAGACCCATAGGGTCAAAGGGCTGTTTGATATACACGTCGCAGCGGTGGGATACTTGAAGGCAGATAATGTTTATTCATGAAGGTTGAGCAAGGAAAGAGCACTTATTGGAAGCCCTTGATGTGGGATACTAGTGCAATACATTTGGCGATCAGAACGAGCCAAAGAACTGGTGAATTGGCCAAGGATTGGTCGAGAAACAGGTGAGATGGCCGCTCGGCGTTAACGAAATGATCTTCTCACCGTCCGGCCCGCCATCAAACCAAACACAGCTTTCGAACAACGCATCATTCGGCCTCAAAATTTGACATGGGTGGTCCTCAGGGGTCGTACTACCTCCCACAAGTCCAAATCCTCACCATCCGATACTAGTGATCCTGATATTTGGCAAGTGCCCAGCTTCCTTGTGTGCCCAGCTTCCTAGTCAGATATAGTAAACATATCAGCACGGATCCAGAAGTCATCCCCTCCGCGTGCCCCCAGGTCCCAGTCGTTCCGCCAATCTTCCAACATCAAAACGACAAAGCGCGCGTCTTGGACAGGCGGATCCTGCGAAACTTCCATGGCGCGCAACCGCGCGTCGTAAGGCCACATATTCACGAGCGTGTGCAGATGGGACTCGGCAAAAATTGTCCGCACGAGCTCGCCCGGTACCTCGTTGTTCAAGCACAGATGGGTGAGGACAGGAAGCGTCGCTAGGTGCCGCCATATCGGCAGGTCGTCCTCCATGATGGTATCGAATACGTCGAGGTGACTTATTGAGCTAAACATCAGGTGGCGCAGATCCACTTCCTTGTGGGCGTAGAATAGATCCTTTATTCCCAGAATCAGCCGCCGTACCTGTATGCCTGACAGAAGAATTCCGACCCCTCACCAGATCAAGACGCGCCGGGCAACTCGCAGGAGGGTGGGAATCATGCCGCGATTCATCAAAGCGGCCGTTTCGAACATTTCCCTCTCCAATTCAGGTGGAAACACAGGCTCGATATGCACAGATGAGGAAGTCGACATTGTACTGGCGGAGGCGGTGCTTCTGCTTGGGCGTGAATCATGATGTGTGACGTCCCATTGAATTACTTCTCAGAATCTCATCATTAGGCGGCTCGAACTTGTGACCTACCCGCAACATATTGCCACTCTCCCGTTTTTTGCTGTCCTCAATGCAAACGACGGCTCTGGAACTATACATACTACCCTTGCTCCCAGGTCACCGCAGGGTCACCGCACAACAACCGCACAAATTGTGGCTCGCGGCTAGCCATCTAATAAGCTATGATTAGTCTTATGACGTCGGGACTGTCCAATAATTAACGGCAAAGCCTCGAATTGCTGAGAGGTTAATTTCCTCAAGCTGACACGGTGCACAGAAACTGGGTGGTCGACATAGACGTCAACTCGGAACGTGGATGCGAGTCTTGGATTCTATTAACAGG